TATTTGCCTTTCTTGGAGAAAATAGTGAATTGCTCATTTTTCCTGGAAGTTTGATTTGATTGCACTTTTTCTTGGAGGGTGACTTTGCTATTTCTATTTACAAAACAAACAAAAAAAAAACGCTTCTTTTCAGAGTAACACCCCTAACTGTGCATAGTAGCCAAGGCCAGTATCTGCCTGTGGATAAAATGTATGTTTTCTTCCCCTGGTGATTCAGCAGTTTGGAATATGATAAAGTCCTGCTGCCTTTCTACTCCCTCTATCAGAGTTAAAAAAAAAAAGGATTTAGCATCCAGCTTTCTGAATTTGCCCCCAGGATGGGAATATATTTTTTTTTCACCAGCATAGGAAACTCTGGCCCTTATTCTTTGATTATACACTTGAACACCTCTGAATATGATCTTTGGGCAGAATCCAACTGACATTCTGCCCCTGGGCTCAGAGCAGAGATTCCTCAAGTTTCTCCAGGGACACACTTTTCCTTGGGCAATCATTTTGGAACATCACACTAATAAAAGTGCCTGCCCCTTGTTGCCAGGGGTTAAAGTTTGAGTAGCATATATCAGGAAGGAGCAAATGGATAACTCAGGTGCACAACTCCAAAATGCCATTCTGGAAAGGTTTTTCTAGAGATAACCCAGAGCTCAAGTCTAGAAGTGGGCTCTGATTTGCAATTATCATAAAAGCCATACAAATCCTTGATGTCGTCATTTATGGTTAACCACACAAAGTTGATGTCCAAGGAAGGCAACGGAGAAATCTAGATCAAAGTGGAGAGGAGCAGCTTCGCAGCATGAGCCTCAAAAGCATATGACCGGCGATTCATTTCTGCTCGTAGTGATAAGATTCTAGGGAGAAGGAGAAAAATAGGACCTTGGAACAAATGTCCTTGAGCGAAATCCACATATTGGCATTCAATAACCACATAGGTAGAAAAAACTGACTCATCCTGCCCAGAGATGATGGTAGACATAGAACTTATTCTTAAACTCTATTTTTATTGTAGTTGAATTGGCTTGTAGTCATCAAATTGGGGGCGGGCCAGGGAGGGGTGCTAGATCTTTTAAGTCTTCAAAAAGACCAGTCAGCTCGATACCCAGTGGTTACATTTAAGGACCACAAAAGTGTGTCTTGGCCGTTCTGAGATGGTGTAACTATCAGTTTATACACAGATGTATAGTTTTTCTTTTCATTATAAAACAGCCAGATAGCCAGCAATTAAGGTGTTTTTTCATCTTTGTGAAATTCATAGGCAAATTCTGACTCTAAAATGCACAGTCTAAATGAAATCCTTGATCTCAATCTGTATATATATATTGTACATGACTGCTAGTAGGTACGAAATGCACTTGCAGAATCGAAAACTCATGCAACATACTCATGTGTTTGCATAAGGAATGTTACAATTCTTTCTACTGCAATTTAATAACAGGGGAAAAGACTTAAGCAGTGCCATCTAGACCTTTTCTCATTTCTTCAAAAGCAGTGCTAAGTGAAAATAACAATAATAATAAAAATGGTGTAGAAACCAAAAGACTTTACATTCTAGCATTAGGAACACACACACACACAAACCTGTCAGCTTACAAAAGCACAACACATAGAGAAAGTTCAGCGGAATGCGGCATGGGGAGATGAATTATGTTCCTTTTAAGCAAGACCTGCATTAAATTGGCAACGAAGACAATTTCCATTTTCAATAGGTAACTGCGTTCCCGTTTTATGATTAAATTCTTACTCAACCACAAAAACAGCCAACAAACAATAGGTCTTACAACATATCTACATGTATATATGTGTATATATAGATCCGTATAAACATACATATATATGCATTCATATGTTGGGAAACAAAAAGGAATAAGCTAATATGTTTTATTTCCTTTCCTTCCTTAAACCAGTAGATAAATATTTTTAATTTGGCAACCAACAGATCAACATACTGAAACAAGTGATACAGGGTACTGAGCACTTCTCTATCAGTAAATCGATGCCTACCATTCTTGGGAACCACTGCGCAGTCGGACACTAATAGTACTGTACCTCAGAACATGAAACCAACTAGTTCTCTCATTGCTTGTCTACCTGTTCTCTTTTTCAAGGAAACAAATAGCATTGTCTGTTGGTGATTGAAAAACAGAAATGTCTTAAGAAAACAAAAATGATAACAAAAAAAAAAATTCCTCCTCGGAGGAGGGAAAAAAAAAATTATGAAACCCCACCATGTTGGTTAGGGCAAATACTCTCAGCTGTAGCAATCATGCCATTTTGCTAAGTGTACAGAGTACGTGTAATGTGCGCAACCGTAACTTTCACTGGGCGTGTGTAAATATTGAAACAGATTTCTTAAATATTTTTAACTCCTAATTTGTATTTTATGGTAAGGCAACGTGCTCATTCTGTTTATGGTTTAAGTTGATGTGTTATTATGTAAATAACTAAACATGCTGTAAATGAATAGTCCATAGATAACAAATAATGATTTTAGTTTTTTTTTTCCCTTGATTTGTATTTATTTTTTACTAAGTACGGTTACTGCCGTGCCCCAGCAGAGTCATTTAAACACCCTTTTGCATACATGGTTTGCGATCCCAGATAGAAGGGTTTCTATTTGCTATCACACACACACTGACACACAGACACACACTCAGAGACTTCCACTTGGCTGCTCAGTCTCCCACTCTTGCCCCCTCCGTGGGAAATACTGTAGTGTTCATGTTGTCAAAGTGACACCCAAGAGAGAGCCTTAGAAATGGCAGCTGGGAAAAGCAGGAATGAGCATTGCTCGCTTGATAGAGTTTTTTATGCGTAAGTATTCAAGAAACCAAAGGTCATAAATCTCAGTGTTCAAAGAATGGAAGTTGATACTGATGACACTACAGGAACTAAAAATGCTTATTATTCATACCTACTCCAGAAATGTGTTCCACACAATCCATAGGGAAAACTCTTTCTTTTTAATAGTAGCCTTTTTGTCCTTAGATAGTATTATTCCTTTCAACCAAAGACTCCAGAATTAAAAAACAAAAAAAAAAAGGAAAAAGGAGGGGAAATGGGGGGGGGAGACACTGCTTCACACCAAAGGTTTAAAAAACATTTTTCAAATACACTAGGAACATTGTAAAAACAAAAAATGGTAAGGAGCCAACAGAATGCTAATTAAGATACTGCCCTAAAGAAATCATTTAAGAAAAAAAAAGCACTCTACAATATCTATTAGCTATTTGGAAATTGAAGTAAAACATCTCTGTAGATATATAGATATAGATACAAAATGCTGACATCAGATTTTAACTTGCTTCAAAAATTTGTTTTGCAATAAAGATAAATATGATCCAAAAGTGAAGAAAAGTGAAACTTTTGTGTTTTTTAACTTTAAAGCCAAATGGCTCTCTCCTGTCACATGTCCAGTAATCGGACGCCCACGTGTGTGTCCTGGCACATTCTGAAGCAAGTTGACAGTTCCACCAGCTTGTATCTTTCTCTCTTTAGTTCAGTAATCTGACTTCACCTATGGTCATTTTAAACACATGAATTCAAACAAAGTTGAAAATAATTTAAATTCCATAATATTTTTTTAAAATTTTTATTTGCATGGGTGTTTAAATAGTTCTGTTACCATGACTGTCCCTGCACAGTTCTGAACTGTCCTTTTATAAAAGTGACATTCTAGTTTCTTCACAATGTAGTGATTATCAGCCTTACTAATTACCTTGTAGCCTTTGTTAATATGCACATAATGCACATTTTCCAGTGGCTAGAAAATGCAAAACACCAGTGGGTATCATTGCATCTACCTTCATGTCTTTCTAAAAACAGGACTACAAAAATCTCTGGGATACGTGAGGTAGTATCAAATGAGGATTATCAATGAGTAGCACATAAGAATTATTTTCTTGAATTTAAACTTACTACAACCAGTTTCAGCATGTAAATATATAATAATGTTGGCTAGTGTGTAATTCTTGAACTAAGAAGTATAAATAAAACTTTAAAAGATGTGTGTATGTGTGATTTCATTGGGCTCAGAAATTTTTTGATCTATTAATATGAGTTTGTAGAATGTAGCTTTTGCATCAAGCAATGAAAAATTTAGGAGCTCGGGATCTGTGGTGGGACCAACTTGAGTTTGAGCCGTGACTTGTCACCTGTCAGGTGTATGATTGTGCATCTACTTAAAACATCTGACTCTCGGTTTTCTTATCTGAAGTAAAGATACCATTGTACCTCCTTCGTAGGGTGTTACACAGATGAAATGAAATAATCCATAAGAAATCCTTAGCGTGGTCCAAGATACACATTAAGTGATGTCAACAGTACGCACTATTGTTGCTGTTGTTAATTATAAGCACTGCAAGACTAGTCAGGAAGTGTAACACAAATTCTATTGTGAATCTAAAAGTTCATAGTAATTATTGAATGTTCTTAGGTATTTTACATTAAGACTAATTAATGAAGAACTTGGCTTCAATCGGGAAAACACGATGAACATAATGTACTCAGTCATATAACATTCACCATGTATCTGCTGAAGACATTACCC